CATGGTTTTGCTACACTTACCATAGTTTAACCATGGTATTTGTGGCAAAACTGTGGTTATACAAATGGTAATCAATATGCCAAAAAACCATGGTAACATTTTTACCATGGTTTACATTTTTACTATAATAAAACCATGGTTAATTTTAGTAAGGAAAGTGAAGATTAAAATCTTCTATTCTTAAGTGTAATGTTTTAAAATCCAAATATCAAAATCCAAATGGAATTTTAGTCCATGTCTCTTTGACAAACGTAGCGCTCTTTCTTTTTGCTAAATGAACCTTAAAAATGTATGTAAAATAAAATTATCCAATAGAATGAGAATGTTCCTGTCCCACATTTACAAATATCATCTGCAACTGACTAACCTTAGCAAGCAGTGTTGCCAACGTAGCAACTTTTTGCTAGATTTAGCAACTTTTCAGACCTCTTTATTAAATGAATGAATGAATGAATGAGTGACAAATCCAGAGCCTCCTCGGACAAACCTTATCTAGTTTTCCGAGACTCATCTAGCAACGTTTAGCAAGCAGGCTTTAACTGATTTAATTTAAAGTAGTTTGTAACAGTGTTAGCAAGTAGCAAATCATGGTTTTAAAGGCAATGCACCCAGAAAGAAAATTTCACCTCTGTCAAACCATTTAATGAGGCCAGACTGATTGGAGTTGAATTAACTTCGAAAGAAAGCTTGTATGAAGAGTGAGTTCAAAATCATGCTGAACTTTCAGAGTCAGTTAAGTCAACACAGCTTGGAAATTCATGTAATCCACACATTAAGATCACAATGTTTATCCCACTATTGTGGTGTTTGTTTTGTTTTACAGATCATTTTAAGCGTAGCCAGCTGGCCGCCCACCCTGTGTGACCTCTGGAAAGGCTTGTTAGGAGCACTATGGGGAACACAAGCAGTGAGAGGGCCGGCATGGGCCAGGAAAAGGCCCACAGGAGGGATAGTCGAGGAACCAAGGAAGGAGACCGTCCTAAAATCCTGATGGACAGCCCAGAGGATGCTGATATTTTTCACGGGGAGGACATCAAAGTGTGTGTTGGCTCGCATTGAATGTTCATTTATGAAGAATATGATTGATGGTAATGTGTTCTGTCCTTTATCTTCTATTAGGCGCCGTTAGAAAAAGAGGAGTTCATTGAGTGGAGACCAGACCTGGAGACCAGTGAAAAGGTTCCCGCTTTAGATCGACCAACTGTATTTCGGTGGACAGGAGCCGGAAAGGAAATCTATATTTCTGGCTCTTTTAATAATTGGACCAATAAGATTCCCTTGATAAGGAGGTATGTAAGAGTTAACGTTAACTGAAACGATTAAAGGGGTCATATGATGCTTTTTTAAAGATCATTATT